AGCATACTGCTTAACAAACAAGATATTGACACGAGCAAGCTAACTCAACATACCATTTACATCAAGCAAGATGGAATCAAAAGAATAAACTCCTATAGCAATACTTAAGCCATGAACAACAATCCGTGCATCTTATTCCACAATGAAATTTACTACTTGTTTTTATTTTAGCCAGTTGAGAGCTTTCCTAATTGCAATGGCTTCAGCCTCTTTTGGTGAGCAAATTCCCCTCTAGGGTGTACTTACAGTAGCCATGAAACTTCCAACGTCATCATGCAAGACCCACCCGAACCCCATCATACCTCTATGCTTGTCAATGACATCATCTACATTAGTTTAAGCCAACCCAGGTAGGGTTTATCCAATTTAACAGTGAAGTTGTGATTGGCAGGGAGGCTTTGTGCTATATTTTCATTTGTTTCTCTCTAGTCCATATGATAAGCTTTTGCCCTTTCCATAATACTTCTACCTGGAGTAGAAATGTCTCTCCAAATCTTATCATTTCTGCCAACCATATAAACCAACATGTCATAGCAATAAGAGAGGAGTCATCCATATTAGGGAGCCTGGGACTTTGAGAGAACCAATCTGCAAACATATTTTGTCTTGCCTGTCCAAGGGTCCTATACACATTCACTAGGACATGTTCTATAATTTCATCATCTTTAAGGTAAACTTATCAACTATCTTCTATATTAGTTTGTGTTAGAAACATTTGTATTTAGATTTTGATGATACCAAAAGTTAGGAATTTTAATCCCTTATTTAATTTATCTTTTAGACTTAGGCTATTTATGCTCAGATTCGATTAGTCTGAATAGTAACTCGAGAAGTCACGATTCAGATAGACAAAACAATTCGAATGATAACTCGAAAGGTTATGTTTCGGTCAGTCTCAACAAAACGTTCGAATGGTAACCCGTAGTTATCTCTCGAATAGCTTGAAGATGAAGACCTTGAAGAGTTGAAGACTGAAGACGAATATTCGAAGAGTAGAAGCCTTATAAGACCGAAAGGTTGCAAAGGTCGAATGATGGAAGGGTTTACCTTTCGAAGTAAAGAATGAAATGACGGGTAAGGACAACCATTCGTAAAGAACTGCTCGAGACATTCTCTAAGCCAATAGTTCGAAACCTTAAAACACTAGTGAATGTGACCAAAAGCAAAGAGAGTCCTGAGTTCACATCCCAAGAAATATTTTCCTTAAAAAGTCTAGACATTTTGTGGAGAGCAAATAGATATATTCAGCTCAAAATAAGTCTCTAACGGCTAGAAAGTCTGACAATTCTTCCTAACCTCCGGATTACCTGCTGGTCAATAGACGTTTGAAATTAGTTTCCCTCCAATGGACAAATTTCTAAAACGCCTATAAATATCCCCTTCCAAGACTGAAGAAGGTGCATGTCTTTCTAAAAATTTTATTAAGTGTTTAAGCGTTCAAAAACATTACAACTCGTGACCAGTTAGAGAGATCCAAAGCTACAAAGAAATATCCAGAAATTTTAGAAGCTTGTGCTACTCAAATCGTGAAGATCAAGTTCATCCTTCAAAGCCAAGGTTTCTTGTTGTAGATTGAAGAAACCTTATCTTCAACCTTTATAAACTCTACTCGGTAGAAGTATAAAGAGGCGGAGTAGACTGGTTATAGTTGAAAAACCTGTGGAGTTCAAGGCTGACTTTGTGTTCCAGACTTGAACGCCCTTGTTTTTACTAACGGATTAGTGCAAACCTCCTTAGGAGTTTTAAAGAGAAGAGTGGAGAAGGCTGAGTTGGTCGAACCACTATAAAAATCTCTCTCTCCCTCTCTCTCTCTCTCCCCCCCCCTCTCTCTCTCTCTCTCTCTCTATTTGAACAAACCTATACGTACAAAATAACCTAATAAGTGTTGGTCCCCGAAGGGTTGAGAACAATTTTAGGAGGGGGGGGGGGGGTGTATAGATTTGTTATGATAAAAAAATTAACGTTTCGTCTAAGTAAACCGAATGGTCACTTCAACGAATTGTTGAGTTTGCATAGCATAAATATTAAACCATTTTTAGTTAGTTTGCACGTAAGTTTGCTATTCTTAAAACTTATGAGTTGTTGTGAGAGATGGTATACAATGAGCAGTAAATAAAGATAGAGAGAGAGAGAGAGAGAGAGAGAGCAATTTTTATACTGGTTCGGCCAAACCAAGCATACTTCACTCTTCTTCTTAAAATTCCTAAGGAGGTTTGCGCTAATCCTTTTTGTACAAAGGGGGTGTTCAAGCCTTAAACACAAAGCTGGCCTTGAACTCCACAGGTTTTTCAACTCATTCGAGTTTACTCCGCCTCTTTATACTTTTACCGAGTAGAGTTACAAAGGGTTGAATATAAATGTTCTTCAATCTCCAACTAGAAAGCTTAGCTTTGATGGATGAACTTGAACTTCACAATTTGAGCAGCACAAGCTTCTAAAAAATCTAGATATATCTTTGTAGCTTTGGATCTCTCTCACTGGTCACGAGTTGTAAAGCTTTTGAACGCTTGACCACTTAATAAAATTATTAGAAATGACCAACTTCTTCTTCAGTCTTGGAAATGGGTATTTATAGGCATTTTAGAAATGTGTCCGTTGGAGGGAAACCCATTTCAAACGTCTATTGACCCGCGTGTAGAGACTAGTATGTAATCCGGAGGTTAGGTAGACTTGTCAGAATTTCTAGCCGTTAGACCACTTAATTTGCGCTGAACATAATTTTTGTTCTACACAAAATGTCTAGGCTTTTTAAGGAAAATCCTCCTTGGAATGTGAACCTAGGACTCTCTTTGCCTTGTCACATTCTACCATAAAGAATTAGTGTTTTAAGGTTCTGAACTGTCAACTTAGAGAATGTCTCGAGCAGTTCTTTTTGAGTGGTTAACTGTCACTATTCGAGTTAACGTTTTGAACCTTAACACTCTACAACCTCTCAGATATGAATGGTTGACCTTACCATTCGTTCCATCTTTTTACTTCGAAAGGTAGGTCCTTCCATTATTCGGCCTTTGCAATCTTCTGGTCTTGCAATCTTCGACTCTTCGAATCTTCATCTCGGGCTCTTCAAGTCTTCAAATCTTCGAGGTCTTCATCTTTAAGATGTTCGAGGGGTAACTATTCAGGTTACCATTTGAATATTTTGTTGAGACCGACCGAACGTAACCTTTTGAGTTATCATTTGGATTGTTTTGTCTATTCGAATTGTGATTTCTTGAGTTACTATTCGGACTAATCAAATTTGAGCATAAATAAGCTAGGTCTAAAAGACAAAATAAATAGGGGACTAAAATTCCTAACTACTTACAGGGCGTTTGGTTGGAAGGATTTTAAATTCCCTTCCCATTTAATTCTCACCTAATTCCAAAGACCATTAAATTCCGTAGTTTGGTTGGTGGGAATTACAATTCCATGGAATTGCAATTCCCCCATTTTCATGGAATTAAAATCCCATGTCCCCCCCTGGTATTTTAATTCCTGGGAAAAAAAGATAGTGATGAGTCAAAATTACTCATTCCTTTTTTAACCTAAAATTAATGTCTAACAACAATAATGAACATTTTTGACTTTATACTACTTATTCCCTTTCAATTCCCATGTATACCAAACATTGGAATTGAATTTCCCAGTAATTTTATTCCTGTCAACCAAACACTGGAATTTAAATTCCCACTTTATTCCCAGTAATTCAACTCCCATGGAATTACAATTCCTTTCCCACATAATTCCCTCCCTCCAACCAAACGCCCTGTTATGGTATAATCAAAATCTAAATACAAATGTTCCTAACAATTCCCCCATTTTAATGATGCCAAAACCTATACCCAAATTATAAGGTTGTTTTAAAACTTGAATTGATTTTTCATTACAATTCAGTCCATAATTGAGTTTGACAAATATTGTTATAGGAATTAAAGTACTGGAAATTTAAAACACTACGCAACACACACACTGAAAATATTTCATTAATTGCTCAAAAATATTATATATTACATTCAGTGGACAAAAAGCGTTAAGTAAATAAACATTACAAAAATTAGTTATGCAGCTTCAGTCCATGCTCATGTTGATGCTTATTGGCTTTCTCAACAGCTAGATCCAAAATCTTTTTGATATGTCTACGCGTTGTTACAATGTTGCCTTCTACCACCAAATGATCATACATATGAGTGATCTTGAAGCTATGGTAGTTATTGAAGGCTTCTAGAATGTTTGCTCTTTCAAACATTTCGTCTCTAATTGTTAGCCTTGCTCACTTTTCATTCCTAAGCTATTATTGTCGTTATATTTTTCGTCCATTTACTAACAAAACATTAGAGATGAAAAGTGAGTACGAGAAGTTAGTTTAGAGACGAAAAATGAGCACGATAAGTTAATAAAAGGACGAAAAGTGCAACATCAATAATGATTTAGGCGTGAAAAGTGAGCTAGACTAATAATTGGGGACAAATTATATAAATTATCCGGACGAAAAATACAATTTTTCCTATGATCCATTGTGCGCTGAAGCGATGGCTGTCCAATAAGCCCTCTCTTGCTCAAATCTAAACAACTCCACAACGTCACCATTGAGTTAGATTGTGCAGTCGTTTGTGCTGCTGCTCTTAAAAGTACTACACAAGTAATGTCTTATTTCGGTCTTATTATTCAGGATTGTGTTAACATCCTTTGGAGAATCGAGAACAATAGTATTCATCATGTTAGAAGATCAACGAATCGTGTGGCTCACACTCTAGCTAAGGCATCGGGTTCCCAGTTTGGTTTTATTATTTGGAAAGACACTCCCCCAAATTGTATTCGTGACTTTTTTTAGTTAATTAATGCATGCCCTTCACTTTTAAAATAATAATAATAATAATTTTAAGTTAAGATTGAGAAAGTAATTATGAACATATAGTCCATTGTAAATGAGGTAACACTCAAAAGTTGAGGTGCGTGTCCAATATCGCCAACTCATAGCATATGTTGCATAATTGAAAAGCTTTTAAGAAAACAGGGGTCGAAATTGAATTTCCGTGAAATTTTAGTTGGCCAGAATTGCAAGCGACTGGCCCCCCTTTCTCCGGCCTTGAGAACAAAGAAAACTACGGAGCAACGGTTTAAGATAATTCCGGACAGCTTTGTACCCTGCAGGCTGCAGCCATGGCGACGAGCCTTCCATGGCACCCCCTACCACCCTCGAGAACCAAACTTCTATATCGTACTCCAAGACAGTTCATTCCTATCCGCCACATGACTCCCGTACAGGCCTTCAGGCGCAGCGACTTTGATATGTTCGCCAGGCGAATAAGCTCCGGCGAGGCTTGGAGAGACGCGTGGCGCCGAGCAAACGACGGCTTCGAGCAGTTCGTTTTCGAAACGAAGAAGACAGCTGAGCGCATCGATCGGAGATACAGTGTCTCGCAGCGGTTGCACGCGGCGGCGCAATCCACTCTTTACCGTGCCCGTGAAATTGACCGCGAATTTGAGATTACTGATCGCTGGCGTACCTTTACTCTCGATTTCAGCAGAAATTGGCCGAGGGTTTGTTCATTTTCTCTCTGTATTATAGAGTTATTAAGCTGCGCAATCCATAAAATGAGTATACCGTACCACGAAGCTAGTATGTATATTCCATAAGTTATGAGAATTTTGTCTCAATCTGGGTAATTATTTAGATTTCCGTTGCATCTGCAGTACAGGAAGCAGTTAAATGACTTTTTGGATACTCCGATAGGAAGAACTATTACGGTAAGTGATCCTCGCCACTCCAATAGCACCAATTTTTCTAACAGACTTATACGGGAAGTCTTTTGTTCTTGTTTTGGGCTTTACCACAACTACTATGAACGCTAGAGTTTTCTGTTCTATTTTGCTCTTTAGAGTTTATTAGGTTTGTACTTTCCTTCAGCATCCCAGTGTATCTTTTGGTCACAATTTTTAGTATAATTTGCCAAATTGCATCTAAATATGTCCATTTACTGAGGTTCTATAGATCATATTTGTTATCATTTTGCAAAATCCTTATCTAAGTGTGCACATTTGCAGACATTCTTCTTCCTATGGTTTGCTCTATCAGGATGGCTGTTTCAGTTTCTGATATTTGCATTATGGGTCTTGCCATTTGCTGCTCCTCTTCTTATAGGTGCTGTTGCAAAAAATCTTGTAATTCAGGTAAATTGTTTTGTTGTGCTGCCTTCATCAATTTGTGGTTGAATTATTTGGTTGAATGGTCTTGACTCTTGAGTTTGCAATTGCAAAGGGTGTTATTCACAATTTCACATGATGGTCATATTATTATAGTTTGAGGCTTTGAGCTAATTTAGGGTGTGTTTGGTTCGCACATGGGAATCGGAATCGGAATGGGTATCAAATACTTGGTAATGGTAATGGGTTTTAGCTGTTTGGTAATAGGGTGGAATGAGAATGATTATCAATAATGCTGTTTGGTTATGTATAATCCTATAATGGGAATAAAGATTTTAAAAATACAAGAACACAAAATCAAGACAATTGATTCTAATATAAAGACATCCAAAACACCAGTATGAACAAAAAAATAAAAATAAAAATCTAAAAGCACTAATCAAAGGGAATGAGAAGGAATAAGGGAATGAAAGGGGATGATACCCTTATTTTATTTGGTATGGGTTTTTCAATTAAGGGGGTATTTCAAACCCATAGTATTGTTCTAAAAACCTATCAACCAAACAATACCAATCACTTTGATACTCATTCCTTAGAGCTAAACCTGTCAACCAAACACACCCTTAATCATTTATAAGTAGGAAATTGCAGAATTGACAACAGTCCTGATTCACTTGTGCAGGGAGAATGCCCAGCTTGTAGAAAGCAGTTTATTGGATATAAAAACCAAACAATTCGCTGCACTACTTGTAGAAACATTGTGTGGCAACCACAAGGTGATTTCTTCTCCGGAGGCGGTCGAGGTTCTAAGTCGTCAAAGTCACAGCCAGATGTCATTGATGTTGAGTTTGAAGAGAAATAAACTTAGAGGTCTATTTGGCACTTACGGCTTTTCTACATGGGGATACAGAACATATATTACTACATAACAAGAACGAAGTTATTTGAGGAGTATGTTAAATGTCTCTTCCTATATCTTCTTAATGTCCTTGTAAGTCCAATTGTGGTTATCCTTTTTTAGTTCATGAGATTTTAGATGGAGAACTAAACTGCAGGTTTTACCTCCGATGTGCTATAAATCTCTCATTGTTTTTTTAAAATCACATTCATCTTAGTAATTTTGGTATTGGTTGAGAGAATCTTGTGAAATAAATTAGCATGAATATGAACAGTACTCATCAACATCAATTCTTAATTAAAACAACCATATTACTTCACTATCATGGCCTTAGAGGCCCTAGAAATCTGCTTATTTATGCCATCAACTGCAAGCGTAAAGTCTAATAAGTGTTGCTGAGGCATGTTTTCCCTTTGGTTAGTTATGTTGCGTGCTTGATCGCTTTCTGAGATGCGGTTGATGGATCAATTTGAGATCATTCATGTGCTATTTAGGTTACATGATAGAACAAGATGAACACATACAACCTCATTTTCAAGATGCTTTGTTCTTATCTAAGAGATAGGAGATGGTAGATATCCAGATCCTTGATTGGTTCATATCTTCAAAGAGAAGCTTAACTATTCCACTCTCTGTCTTTAAACTCAGAATGTAGTTGTGTTGACCTTCTGTACATTCCTCTGCAATTCTCATGAGCTTGTCTGCAAGGGGGGGATGTATTTCATCAGCTAATCTTCTGTATTAGATACCAACACAGCCTGGGAGGATGACCTCAGAGTAATAGTTGCTAATTCAAGTAGTGGAACAATAGATGAGAGCTTACAGTCTTTGGAAGTTCTTAGAGCCCAAAAGTTATTCTTTCCAACACTCAGAATGAGCTGTTTTTGCTTTAGATGCACAGTTACCCATTTGTCCTCTATACGCCCTGCATTTTGTATTAAGCATGTGTTAGGTTTTGAGGACAAACTTGAGAATATACACTAATAGAATGTTTTGGTGGTAAATTCTGGTTGTGTTGCTCACCTGAGGGCATGATTATCCATATTCTAGCACTTACTCTCGTAATACATGGGGTCCTACTAAGGGAATCCTCAAGGATTCTAGATTTGAGAATTGCAGCACCTCTTAGACCTGGTGACAAGAAGTTAGCTCCAGTTGATTAGGGTTGTGAATTTGTACTTGATTTTCTGTATTCTTAGACATGTGTGTGTGTCAAAAGTGAAGGGAATTGATGAGAGAAAGGTTTTACATGTTGCTGTGGTTGCTGTCACTGCTAGCATATCTATAGGAGTATGGATGGCGAGACCAGAGTTGACAGCAGCCGCAACTTGAACTCTTCCTGCACCGAGAGATTCTGCTGCCTCAGCACATACTGTTGTTACAAGAGCTGCTGCTGAAGCAAGAACAGCACCCATATTGTTTCTCTGTTCTCCTGATATAGCATTATTGAAGTGAAACTCTTCTGTTTCTGCTTTGCTACTGCTGGCAAGCCCGGCAATTGCTGCAGCAAGCTGTGTAAGAGAGAGTGCAGCATGCACTTTTGCAGTTCTCAGTCGGAGTTTCTCTTTCTTCTCCTGATGTGATGATCTGAAGAACCTAGTTAATAAGTTGCCCTTTGACCATTGCTTCATTACAGAGGAATTATCTTCTCTAGTTGCTAGTGCTTTACTGGTGGTATTCCGAGACATCTCCTCGAGTTGTTCTTGCTGGTATTCTAGGTCTGTGCTTGTCACTGGCAAGAGATGGTTCTGCAGAGGTAGAAAAAAGAAAAGATTGTAAGAGCAGGGGATTGTACGTGAATTTCCTAATTCACTTCACAGAGTGCAAATTGTGTACACCAAGGCTGTCGTTGAACTATTGAAGGTAGAATGCTAAGTTTATGTTTGTTGTTTTTGCTCATAATTCATTTTGTATAGTCCTAGAAATGTTCTTACACCAGATGATAACATATGTAGGAATTCGTTGGAAGAAGGGCTCCATGTTCTACACAAGAATTCCATGGCGTTGGTCTGAGTTGATGTCATCTCTCTTGATTGAGGGTAAGAATGGAATGGGTTTGCCTGTTGGCTTCTTCTCCAGCATATCTTCTCTGGTTCAATGGCCTAAGAATTGGGGCAGAAAAACAACCCGACATGTTAGGTAAGATTTCTGTATGGACTCATCAACTGTGCATATATAGAGCTATAACTTAGGAGGGCTTTAGCCCAGTGGTAGGGTAAAGCTCCATCATCATTCCTCTCTCTCATGATGCACTAAAAAGAAATAGTGTGAGAACTCACAGGTGAGTAGGACACTGAGTTTTGCTTAGCCATAATTTGAACTCTCTTCTTGTAGTTTCAAGTTTCCAAACTGCCACAGAAATTATATTTAAATCTGAATACTATTGATTGAAGTACGAAAATAGAAACTAAGCACAAAATATATGGTACCTGACTGATGAATGATGAATGATGATTAGAGTTTTGCTTGAAAGGGAAAGCTTAGGCTAGCGCGAAATCATTCCAAGAGTAGAAAACCCATATCTCCATACTTAAGTATCAAATGATTTCTAAGAAGAAAATAAGATAAACTTTCTATATAAGGGAACTAGGGAAGGTATTATATCTAAAGTTGCATGGAAAGAAAAGAATGGCCATAGTTAAAGGGAGTAAGCGTTGTGGGATTCTCAATTCTTAGTGATGGTACCTAACACTCCCACCTTGCATTGGCCTATCACCAATAAATGGTTTTTAAGATTGTGGTCCAATGTCATCTACTTTTCTTTTTTAGGCAATGCATACTTTAATTATAGGCTTAGAAGTTAGATGTACCATGGTGATGCGTAAATACTAAATACCACTTAACAAAGCATCATGATGATTGGAATTCTAACAATCTTTTACTGTTTTATTATATTCTTCCCAAAAGTTGGATCCCCAACCCCAATAGCCCCCACACCCCGGCCCGACAGAGCATCTGGGAGGATGTAAATCATGGTAACTCAGTTGAACACAGATGCTAGACCTTTGCTTACTGTTTTATTATATTTGTATTATTGTTGCCTGCTATTGCATGAAAATTTCTCACTTCTGCTTTAAAACTTCACATAGGAGGACCATTAGTTATATAATGTATGAATTCAATGATTTTGATTTGGATGAAGAGGGAATCCCACAACCCTTTTAGGTGTAGGTAAACCCCGCCTTGTGACTCTAGCCGGTAAAGGACCATAAGAAAGTAAACCATTATAGGTTACTCATAGTTGACCGGCTCAAACTAAAGAGGCAACTAGGCAAGTATTTGAACCCTTGACTTTGTGTTTATAAGTGTGGATCTCTTGTCATCTTGGCTGGAGTTACCCACAATGATTTTGATTTGATGATGTGATGTGGAGTGTGAAGAATATACCTTTAGAAGTTGATAAAAGATGGGATGATGCAGGATGAAGTGTGGTCTCTGAACAGTGATCACGTGTATGATGCAATGCCACTAAAGTAGAAGCTAGGGTGGTTACTGTTTATAGTAGAGTAGAATGAGGTCCACTTTCCATGTTGACACAACAATTGAGCAACAGCAGATGGATTGCGCATGAAAAGATTTTGCTTTGCCCAATCACCTTCTGCATGGTAATGGTGAACAAGTAGGCAAATTCACTTTTACCAAGGTATACTCACTTTCGAGAGTTGGATTTTTTTATTTCAAATTTTTTATAAACAAAAAAATTAAGGACAATCAGCAGCTGGCTTCATGGCTGCCACCTGCCCGCGCGATTTTCATTGGACAACGTTGGAGCTACGGAGTACTAATTTTCCATTACTTATTTTCGTGGAATTGGAATTGGAATGGGATGATAATCTTCTCTTTGATTCTCCAAGCACATTATAGGTTGAAAAGGTCTAGAGGATCATTAGGGGGATTTTTTTGGCAATTTATATTATGGACGTGGACTTGGATCAAAACGATGAAGTACAAAATTCATATTCATAAGATATAGAATTTCATAATACAAAACACAAAAAATCAATACAAGATACGTACACATGTTATATATTTAATTATTTTTCAAATCTAATTTAGGTACATAATTTGTGTTCATAGGTACATAATTTCACAACACAAGGTACACAAATTATAACATAAGACATAATTACTAATTTGTTTCAGGTACAGAATCCATACTCTTAAGTCTTAAGGTATAGAATTTCATAATACAAGACACAAAAACTCACAACATAAGGTACATAAATATGCACTAGGGTCTACAGTGAACTGTGAACCTTGGTCCATGGTATACCTGTATAAGGATTGGATTTTTTTTTTGCGACCTTATTATGGGGGATTTTTCACCTACGTCAAGTGTTGCAAAAATCGCGCCTAGACGCCGATTAATCGTCGCCTAGGCATTAGGCGCTCGCCAAGGCGGTCCTCAGGCGCCTAGAGGGCACCTAACTATTTTTTTCAACATTGCCTACGTCCTTATCTCACTTATGAAAATTATATTAACATTTGAACAAATAATTGATAGATAGTGTTGGTGTAGGCAATGGTCCACACAATTGTGTAGACCATGAAATCAGGTACATTTTTAATATATTAAAAATACATTATTTTTATATTGAAGGTACATTATTTTTATACTGAATGTACATTATATAAAATAATGTACCCTTAGTATATTAAAAATGTATTTTAAAAAATGTACCTTATGTACATAAATAATTTATCTTTAGTATATTAAAAATGTACATTTTATTTATGGTCCACACAATAATGATTGGTTGGTGTATAGATTGCATTGTTAATCATAGTCCGAAATTAATGGTGGCTCGATTAGAATGAAAAATCTTAAGGTTAGGGTCAAAAATTTTTAGCCCGATAAGCTCGGTGGCCTGAACGGATTTACTCGAAACTTAGTGGGTTAACTTGATAGCTCAAGTCACTTAAGACTATTTTTTGTTTCACAAGTAATGTGGAATAAAATATACATTGAGTTTATATGTAAGTTCATCTTTAGTATTTTTTATTACTAAATTTGTAAATAATATTTTAATAAATATATTAATAAGTTTATTACAAAATAAAATACTTTTATTAAAAAAAATTATAATTATTATTATACTATAGTGTAAATATATTAATTATTTTTAGATGAAATTTAAAACGAAGGTTTAGATTGATTGAATGATGTATAAGTTTATATTTATTAGTATAAGTGCACTAGTGTATTAAAATTGAAAATTTAGAACTAGTTGAGCCATCTAATAAGTTCAACAGCTTGAAGTTTTAAACAAAAAAAAAAAAAAAATGATTAAGCGAAATTGATAAGCTTGATAGCACGATAGGCATCGGACTAGCTTAAAACAAAATAGGTTGACCCGATTGACATTCCTAATTTCCTATGTATAGGAATCGCTATTTGCATTTTTAGAATATCACTTTCAAAAGTGAACTTTATCGTCATATTATTACTATTCCTTTTTCGTAAATATATATCATGGACCAAGGTACATGTATTAACATACACCCAATGTATCTCTATCTTTTATCCTTAAATTTTCTTTTCCAAATTAAATTTAATTTTTTTCTTCTTTTTGTACAAATAAAATTAATGTATAAAGAATATATATATATATACACACACACACACACACAAGTTTTATTAAATTTACATGTACATAAAGTCATTCCTTATGTACATAAGTCACTACATTACACGGAAGACAAACGGAGAAGATCCTTGCGTGGATTAGATTGCCCTTAATATCCATTGAATATTTTGACGAGGAGTTTCTTTGCAAGATTGCCTGGAAGATAGGTTGGCTGATTAAGATCGATGATACCACGAGTCTGATATCAAGGGGTAAGTTCGCAAGGATTTGCGTCGAGATCGACATAACCAAACCACTGCTATCTAAGTTCAACCTTCGCTAGCATACATGCCCGTTGAGTACGAAGGCATTCATTTGGTTTGCTTCTCTTGCGGAATGTATGCGCATAGACAGGAACATTGTGGTCATGGGGAAGGTTCCCCTAAAGCTGTGGAAACTAAATAAGGTGAGACGACTCTGGACGGAAACCTCAAGAATGGGAACCTCGATACACCACCATTGATGACAAAATGGGCATCTTTCCCAGCGCCTCCTCTTGGGAAATATGGCCCTTGGATGCTCGTAACACACAGAGATAGAAGACCTTTGAGGAGGCTAGATAATCGAGGGCAACAATACCGTCGCCCTGAGTCTAACCAAGCTGTCGGCACGATGAAAGTTTATTAAAACCAGCTTTTTAATTCGAGATTTGCACCACTTGGGGAGTTGGAAGACTCAGCCCATGTCGCAGAGATCATTCAGACACCGATGCCGCAACCAGATATTCCAGTGATCAAAACTGGGGGTAAAATGTCAAACCAGATGGTAGAACTGAACCGGAGTCCGACTGTCCAACCAGACATCTCAGTGATAAGATGAGTGGTGAATCATCATCCAAAGCTATGGGAATGGTAAAATCTACTGCGTCACAACTAGGTATACATGTGATCAAGAAGGGGGGTATATCATTACCCCGCACTGGCCAGACGGAGTATCCTAACAATGCGGCATCACCTCGTAGCCAGAATAGTTTCGATTCACAGGAGCAAAGGAAATAAACCATTTACACCAAGAATGGCTGCTGCTGAAAAGGAGCATGTGGTTGTTCGGGGATCTGCCAGGGGTGGAGCCATCACTCGAACGATTGTCAACCATCATCGTGCCTATAATCCTGCTTCGCCAACGGATATGGGAGACCCAGGACCCTCCACTCTGCTGGATGAAGGCTTGGATTTCTTCGATTGTGACGATCCATCCAACGATGCAATGGAAGAAGATGATAGAATGGAGGGTCGGTTTGGTTCGGGGGCAGATGTCCGCCAGCTCGTTTGAGCTTTTTTCTCTTTTCGTTATTATGAATCTTCTTGTATGGAATTGTCAAGGTGCGGCGTCAAGATCATTTTGTCGTACCTTGAAGCAGTTTATCCACGAGCATAAACCATTGATCCTCTACCTGCTGGAACCTAAGGTTTCAGGTTCTCATGCAGATGTCATTTGTTCTAGCCTTGGCTTTGACCAGTGGTTAAGAGTTGAGGCCTTTGGATACTCTGGTGGGATTTGGGTGCTATGGAAGGAAACTATTGTGGTTGATGTCCTATTTACCCACCCACAATTTGTGGTTGTTAAGGTTACATAGAATAACTCTCCTTCATGGAATCTTTCTTTGGTTTATGCAGCCCCTACCATTCTATAAGGAAGGATTTATATTCCGAAATTTCCCGTTGTGAGTTCAACTCCCAAAACGGATGGTTATCCATAGGGGATTTTAACTCCATTGTTTCTAGTGACGAAGTTTCGAATAAGAATAATTTCTCTTCTATTTGTT